AAATACACAGTACACAGGGAGAAGACTATGCCATGTACAGGAAGAAGACTGCAGGAAGACTAATCTGCAGAGCTCAGTTGAGGTAACATTTGAGTGAATTAGGCTGTTGCTTCAGTTTCTGATACATAAAGTTTCGTGCCCGGGGAAGTCGTAGCCTCTTATCCAGTTGACATTCCTGGAGCTTGCTGTGCTCAACTCTAGGGAACACAGTTCAGGAAACAGGACTGTGGGCCGGTTTCAAAGATTACACATCAGTACCTTTGCCGTCCTTATTTGCATTACTTAGAGCCAACCGAAGGGAGAAGGAAGCAGCACAGCCAGCTCTGTACACATCAGTACGGGAGGCAGAATTCCCGTCAACGCTGAAGCAGTTGTTCTGCATTCCAAGGGAGTTGCCCAGGTCGTCTCCTACAGGGATAGATATTTGAGGATCAGAAAGAGGATATTAAATGTGCAATCAGCAGATAGGCATTGATTGAAAGCAAGCACGCAGGAGCGGAGCACACACCTGCAGTTCCTGGGTGGCCTAACCCCGCTGAGTGAGCCGTATCCCAGGGAAGCTGCCACCCGTGGCACAAGAGAAGCTGCTTCCTGTGGGTCCCTGCATGTTGATGAGTGTCTGCTGATTTGTTTTCATTGCCTACAAAGAGACCAGAGCAGTGGGGCAAAAGCTGGCCTTCCAATTCAACAAGTCTTCTGTGACTCTCGGCCTCCCGACACCTAGCTACCTCCCCAATCCCACCAAAATCCCCCCTGAGTGACCCCCCAAACCCATTGCATAGGACCAATTGTGCCTCTAGCACTGCTCTGCTCTCCTAGAGTTCCAAACTACTTCCTATCTGACTCTCAATCCATGATTGGAAGTGAAAAAGGCTCTATCATTCTAAGGGACAGATGGTCGAGCCCCAGAGAGCTGATGAATTCTGCAGACTTGAAGGTAGCACTTAGCACCTTAGCGCTCAAGAATGAAAATAGAGTTTTAAATAGTCTGACTTTGCTGTTGTTGAGGTGCCCAGAAAGTTTTTAAATCCCCAGGATAGCCTCCCCATCCCCCCAAATGTTCAGCCATCCTTTGAAAAACTGGAGCGATCCGGAATAGATGTTCCTGTATATTTTGTGCCCTGTGGTGACTCTTAAACTTCTACTCCCTCAGACTTAAATGCCTGGAAAATAGGATTACAGCCTTATAATGCCAGGCTAGTATTTTTAACTTCAGCAAATACAAAAATGTGCAGTGTCCCCCTAAGGCCCAGAAAGTTCTGCATAGACTTGTTTGACAAGGTAATTGAGCACAGAGGGTGCCTCCTGCCCCGCATGGAATGCTGTATTCCTTTCTTGTCTTGCCTGTGGAATCTCAGGCCGGTTCTGCTCCTTGTCAGATTTATTGGCCACACTTAGCACAGGCCACACAAGTGGCCTCTGTCAACTCTGATAAAAGGGAAAGCTCAACACCCTTTTATGAACATTCTCTTTTAAACCTCTCAGGTTCTAAAATTAGGCAGGTGTTACTGTCGCCAGACATGCTTTGCTCTGAAGAGCTTGCCTTCTGCGTCTCCCCTGGCTTCATCCAGGCATGTGTTCCGCCGCTGGTGATAACGGGAATCCAGCTGTGTTTCTTTGACGGCTTCCTGGGAACTTACATAATGGCACGTGTATGACTATTTTAATGAACCTGATTTTAAGACTCAATGCATTCATCTCAAAAGGGGAGATAGTTGGTGTTTGCAAAACTGGTGTCATTCTCTTGAAGAAAAAGTCAGGTTCCCTTGAAGGTTATGTTTACTCCTCCTCTTTTCCTGCAGAAGTAAGATGTTTTTATTTCATCCGTTTGAAACATATTAAGACGTCTACACGTATGTTCAGTGACTGGCATGTTGTGCCAAACACACTGCAGAGGTAACCGCTTTCTTATACGGTGGTGCTCTGGAGAGCAAGGCTTTCACAATATGAATGGGTCATTTCTGTGATGTTGGCCGATGTTCTTTATAAATGTACGGTGTTCTTCAGTAGTTCGTTGTTTTTTTGTTCTTTTTTAAGAATTCAGCTCAAGGATCTCTGAGCTCTTAGCTGTTAGAGATTCATTGGAACGGAGTCCGTTTACTGTTTTAATAATCTGTCTTCAAGATGGTAACTGATGTCTATGGAGAAGGATCAACTTTATAAGCAAAATTAGAAGTTATTTTAAATTTCATTGATTGCTGTCTTAATTTAGGCTGTGGTGCTGGAGGTCCAAGAGTACAGTGCTGGTGTCTGGTGAGGGACTTGGTGCTGGTTATGATGAGGCAGAGCCAGCAGGTCTCAGGTCGGGTCTCGTTCTGTCTTCATGACACCACCAATCTTATCGTGAGGGCCACCCTGGTGCTCTTTATCTCAGGCCTTCCCAAGGCCTCTCCTCCGTGTTGTCAGCCTATGAAGCTGGGGATGAGATTTCAGCAAGCATTTCAGAGGGTAAATTCAAACCATTGTGATTCCAAGAAAGTTGGAATTGCTTTCCTTTCCAGTCCTGCTTTTTTGACAGTCACACTGTGTAGTTCAGGCTGGCCTTGAACTCACAGCCTCCCAACTGCTGGGATTATAGGCATGCGTCACTGTCCAGCCTGAATTGCTTTTCTTACGATTCTCTCAAGCGTATTTTGTTTCATTTGCAACGTGAATTGTGTGCAAACCTTTTTAAAAATATTACTGAATTGTTTAGTGAAACAGCATGGTATAATATAGTGGAATTTTTTTCTAGCAAACTTAGTTTATTGTTTTAATCTGTCTTCAAGATGGTAACACTGGTGACTGTCAAGAAGGATGAGCTTTCGAAGCAGAATGATAATAATCATCCCTGTATCTGGAATATGGCTTTTGAAATGCTTTCATAAGTCTCCTTTTATTTCTTTCTTTCTTTTTTTTTTTTTTAAAGGTATCAGGAATCAAAGGGCCTTGTGCTTCAACAGGCAAGTGCGTATGCCGCTGAGCTGATATCCCAGGTCCTCTAGTCTCCTTCATAAGAACAGAGTCAGAACAGTAAAGCAATAAGGAATAGCACCTATAGCAGAATATTTATCCCCTGAATTCCACAGAGACTCGTGGTCATTGTCAGGGGAAACAGATGATGTAGTAAATCCATGCCAGAGCATCTCATGTTTGCAGCCTTACGCATCATGGCACCTAACAAAGATATGCAGGGAAGTCATGGTTTGAACTGAGTTACTTTGTTGCTCCAAATCTGAGAGACTTTACTGGTAATTTGCCATAAACCGGCTGCATTACTTTGGCAAATGTCTTATCTTTATGATTTTATTTCATCATTTGTAAAAGAGAGGACAGCAGGCTTGGAGGAGGCCCTGAAGTGACAGTCTCTCCTTATCTGAAATCTTTTAAAGTCCCAGGATTTGGGATTGTCACCATCTTTCCTCGGGGCTGAGAAAAAAAATCATACTGACATTGTTTGCCAGGTGGTTTGGTCGGCTGAAAAGACCCTCCACTCCCCTCACTGGGCAGAGGTTCCTTATGGTCCCCTTAGGTTCATTGTTCCTGGTTTGAAATGTGGAATAATACTGTTATACTGCTTTGAATTTTTACGTACAAGAAACTCAGCAGTGTACCTTTTTTTTTTTTTTTGTCTTTTTCTTTTTTATCAGTACTGGGGATCGAACTCACGACCACACACTTGCAAGGCAGGCGCTTATGCCACTGAGCTAAATCCCAGCCCCTCAGCAGTGTGCATTTAACCCAGTATAGTGGCAAGGTTTTTGACCTCTGCCTTTCCCAGGGTGGCAGTGCAAGTCTCAGAGTTGGTCCTAGCGCATCGCATTTTACCTGCAATAGCAGTTCTCACCGTATCTGTCATTGTAACTGGTCCTATAGTCTCTGTCAGTGTATCTAGAGCTCCCTTGTCCTCCAGGTTAACCTGTGTGTGTGTGACACCGGCCTTCCTGTGGGTGGCCCATGCTGGCCTTTATGCATGATGACACAGGCAAGAAAACAAGCAGCCCCGTGACATCCACAGCACACACAGCCCCACCAGCTGAGTCACCTTTCTTTCTCTCCAGCAAGATAGAGACAATCTTAGCCCCTTCTCAAAGGACAGGTGGCCTGTTCGTGTAGATGTCACGTCTGCTAGAGGCTTTCTTTTCAGCCCTGTTAAATGGTCTCTGCTCCGTGCTTGTCAGGCAGCTTAAGCAGCCGAGAAACTTGATCTAGGTGAGTTGGTTAACTCTTAGCCCCAGCAAGTCTAAGTGAACTGGTTAATCACAGTAGACGTTTAGGTGCATCTACAGGACAGCGCTTTGTCACTGTATGGAATGGGGCCACTGGACAGCAGCTGGGGTCCTACTGGCCTGGATGTCCTCAGTGGCCTTTTCTTCTCAGAGAAAGAAGTAACCACTGTTTTGGTCTCCTGGTTCTTCACAACAGTAGGGGCCGTGGCCAAAGGGGAGCACATGAAAGCAAGGCAGAGAAGCTTTAGTTCAGGGCTAACTCTGGCTGGCAAGCTTTGATGTTTAGCACAGACTATGGTTTTGAATCGCTGTCATAGGGTTTGTTCCTCATTTGCTGTGTTCCTGATGAAGGCTTCACATCAGTGTTCTCTAAGACAGTCACTCTTGTGACATCTGCCCACCAGGATGCTTTGGTGGTACCTCACAGTCTGCATTAAGGTGAAAGGCTGCCCCAGGCACAGGCTCCTTATTGAACTAGATATGTCACATGACCCATTTGCTTTGCTGTGATAGGCAGATGGCAGACAGGGCCCATCAGCTTCACATGGTGCCTTAGCCTTGGATGACTGACAGATTTTTTTCAGCTACTCACATGGGCACCTGTTAAATATGTCCATTAAGTTTCGGTAAAAGTGATAGCATCCCATTATGAGGCAGTGTCCATGGTACATGCACAAAAAGAATACAAACAAGTGAGAAATGTTTGGGCTGATGGATACACACTGATTACCCTGACCGGATCCTTGCACTTTGCATGTGTCACACTGCATCCCATAAATGGCACAGTTTTGAGCATGAAAATGGATTTGTGGTGGGTCTGACTTGTGTGGCCTTCCATAGTATACCCACGTGAGAGCAAAGCATGACCTCAAACCCACTGCCCGGCCCCTGCTGTGGGCTGTGGGCACTGAAGCAGGCTGCACAGCTTGTATGGAATGGACCAGGGGCTGTCACCCTTGCTCCCCTGCGAGCTCCAGGAAGAGAGTACAGGGCCCGCCTGGACTGCATGGTGAGAGCCTGTTGGAAGTGGTTGCAGACACCTAAAATTCCAGTCCCCTGGGAGACAGGCAGTGCAGTCGGCAGTGGTGATCCGACAGTGGAAATCATACTGGAGACAAGGCGGAGTGTTCCTTTACTTCAAGGACAATTCGGGGGTCATAGTGAACCATAAAGGCGACTTGAAGGGTTCTGCCATCACCAGGCCAGTGGCAAAGGAATGTGCAGACCTGTGGCTGGCGACCAGGGCAGCATCATGTGACCTGCCTGTCTGTGCAGAATAAATGCCCCATAACAACAGTCTCAGCTCCCGGCTGGCTTCGTGTTCTTTCCACGCTCTTTTCCACCCCTGAGCCCTTGCCTTCCTGGTAAAATGTCCCCCAGGGCCTCGAGAAGAGGGTACACACTCACTGGTAACTGTGACTCAGCAGTAGGGTCCTTGACCAGTGAGCAGGAGGCCCCTGCTGGTGCCACCAACCTGAATAATAAAACATGAAAGATGGGGTGGCCTATGGGACTTCCTGACCTTTGGCACTTGACGTTTATCGTTTATCGTGTTTATCTCTGCTGTAAAGACCAGTTATGAGGGTATCGAGTCCCTAAAAAAAATTTTTTTAAAGATAATACAGTTTTGTGCCTATTTTTAAAATGTTTTCATTTAAAAAGATGAATAGGTATATAGGCAGCACTCTCACTGAGTACAAGAAAAAGGATGTTTTTGCTTCTTAACTGGAACCCAAGTATTGTAACAATATTCATTTACCAATGGGGGGAAAATGCAGATTTATGCTTTGGTGACTGTCTAGTCATGAAGCATGAATGGCTATCATAGTATATAAATATATGAGTGATGTAATTTTTGTATACATCAGTGAGCAAATGCGAAATAACTGTGTATTCATTCATACAATGAAATACTAGGTTTATGTGGCTGTTTGAACCTGGAAAAAAATTCCACGGTCTCTTGCTAAATGTTGGAAAGCAAGTTGTAGCCCAGTATTTGCTGCTGTGTAGTTAACCTGTGTTTGTGTGATTATGCATGAATAGGCTTATGAACGAGTTGGGAAGGACACACCCTGCATACGGTGGAGATGACAGAAGAGCAAGGGGAAAGGCCAGAACGCTTGTTCATACCCTTGAGAGAGCAGTGAAGTCAGGACAGTAAACAGGAAAGCTGTGAACTGGGTTATAAGTTACTCTAGGTCAGTTCATTTGGAAGGAAGAGGGAGAGGGAAATTTAGACTGAGGGACAGAGAGAGCGGTGCAGAGGGCTGTCATAGCAGAAATCTGAGTCTGTACCAAGGAAAGGAAAAGGTTCCAAAGTAAGTAGGAATTAGGACAGTGGCATGGAGGTGGAGGAAGCGGGCATGGAGTCCAGACCGAGTGGCCCTTCTTTGCGGGGGATTGCGGAGGTTGCGGGAAGTTGGAAGAAGATGTTTTGAGAATTCTGAGCAATACCCTCTGAGAAGACAGGTCAGGGCAAAGAAGGCAGATGCATGGATGGTGTTAGTGGAGAAAGTGGAAAATACTGAAAACAGCTCCTCTGGGTTTGATTTGGAAGGGGATAAGGAAGACATTTAGGAAAGGCATAGGCAGGCCAACACAGACAAGGAATTCCTTTTGTGGTGGGGTGATTGTAGACCTCAGCTGCGTTGTGGTGGCATGAGTCTGTGTTGGAAGTGACAGTGTTTCTTGAGGTCCAGCTGTCCAGGGGAGGAGGAGATATCCAGGGAAGTAAGATTAGAATTATAGGATTTTAAGCATTAGTGCCATTCAAAGGGCTATCCAGGGCTTCTAAACTGGGTAAGACAGCCCAAGGGAAACCAACAGCAAGTGATTGAATATCATAAGAGCTTTTTAAAAATAATATCCTTAGATTTTAAAAAAAATGGTGGTCAAAGGGGGACTAGCAAAGATCCTTGCCTAAACGGGTCAGGCTCTAAAGGCCAAGGTGTTGGTTATATGTTGAGTGCGGATTGTTCTAGCCCTGTGTATTTGTTTATTTTTTTTAATTTGTGTTTTTTATTAGTACGTTTACAGTACATAACAATTACATTCCTCTGAGGAGTCGGTATGAGCGTATACTGTATCTTCATCCCCTGCCTTTCCTGTCCCTCCTCTTGGTCCACACCCCCACCCCATTTCCTGTCACCTCTCCTTTATTTTGCTCCTTGTTTATATTTTGAGTTTCCTATGAAAGAGAAATCGTGTGATATTTAAGTCATGTATCTGATTTATTTCACTTAAGATTATGGTCTCAGGGTACATCCATTTTCCTACATATGGCTTAGATTTATACCCTATGGCAAAATAATACTCCACTGTGTATAAATGTCACATTTTCTTATCCATTCTTGTTTATCATCGTGTCTTCATGGTGCCTGACACATAATAGACACAGCAAACATTTGAATAAACCTTGGATTAGCATCTGTAAGGTGTTTGACAGGTCATCAATTTCTTTGTCACTGATGAAAATCACAGAACTGGGTTAAAAAAAAAAAATGATAGAGTCCCATATTGAAGTTGTCAAGGATTGTGGGGAAATGTCTGGTTGTAGTTAATATTAATTGGTGGTAACAGGAATGATGAGAGCAAATGGGTGTATTTTGAGCACAGGTCCACCTGCCACCCAACATCAGGAGATGCGCAGAGCACTGTTCGGAGCAGACAGTTCTGTTAAGATGGAACCATGAGAGTTTCTCCTGACTTCTTTGATCATGCTGTTGCCTAAGCTTTAAAACCTCCCTGAACTCTTCCCAGCTCAGATGCGAAGGTCTGTCTTTCAGCTCGGTGGCCCCAGCCTGTCACTTCAGGCCACATCCTTGAACTCTGCATCAACCACTGCCTGCCCACTCAGTTACACTTGATTAGTGGCTGCAACTGGCCCTGAATATCTTTAAATATAACTGTCCCATCTGATAATTGTGAACTCTGCTGCATGTCCTCCATGGTTTCTAAACTACCAAGTCCACTGTATCCAAGTATTTCTTTCCTATGTCAGAAGCAAATTTTTTTTGTATTTTCTTGACAAGTTTCAAAAAATAGCCAGATGTGGAGGCCTTGATCTTAGTCCTGTAATGCCCACCTCGAAATCTGCATCGCCTCCCCTTGCCACCCTCGTGTCTGTCTCCAAGGACTCTGAGTGATGACTTGCTTTCTGGAGCAGAACCACTGCCACCAAAAGCTTTGGATCTGTGTGACTCCAGCTCACCTGAAGCATAGAGGCTTATGCCCTTGACGGGCACCCGGGAGGTTGGCAGGATGTTTCTCAGCAGAGCACACTTGCACATCGGCTCAGGAAGGACACCGTGTTTGCCCAAAGAGAAAGCTATTTCCGGCCTTTCTGTCCAGAAGAAGCCTTTGTATCAGCTTCTTGTGGCTTATCATTTGCTCTGTGGCTTATCGCTTGAATGGCATTTAATGTCTCCTCCCTCACTCTTTTTGTCTTAATCCTTTCTCCAAAAAAGTAATGAAAATGGAAATGTTCACTAAACTTGCTGGAGATGGCCCAAATTTAGAAAGATTTGGTAAGCCTTAATTATCACTAATGGAGAAAATGTCTTTGTTTAACAAGGAATAATAGAATAATACAATGCCTCTGTTGTTCCTCATCAGCCCTCTGAGCTGATCTGTTTTGTTGTTGCTAACATTTGTGTAACAGTTAGTGGGTCTCAACCTTTTGAGGGGAAGATGAATGTGAAATGTGGTTTTTGCAGAAAAAAAAATTTCATAATAAAAACAACAATAGGTAACAGTGCATATCCTTATCTCCAAAGTAGTTGCTGAGAGACAAGATTTTTACAAAGAAGAAACAGGTACTAGGACAAAAGTTTCAAGGAACAAAGCCAAACGAGTAGTATGAATGAAATGAAGTAACAAACATATTAAAATATTTTTGATCACGTGAAATGTGTTAAGATGAGACGTCTCCCCAGATTGTGGGACGAGTTGGCAAAAAGTGACCCTGCATTACCGAGAGGCGTAAGGAGGAGCAGAGTGGATCCCTGTTTTCTTATGTGCCCCAGGAAGGCCCTGAGACGTGGGTGTGATGGCAGCATTTTGATGACAGCCTGAGGCTGAGAGGGGAAAAATGACCTGCCCAGGGGCACCTGGCCAAATAGCTGTGGAACAAGAATTCCAATCACGCTCCCTGTTCCAGACCCATGCTCTTTTTACCGCTCTGCGCCAGCTCCATAAAACAGGAAAATGTCGCTTTGTCACAGCCCTGGATTTTAACTGTGTCACTGTCCATGTTGAAGAGAGAACTTACTAGTTGATTTTTGCCATTTAAAAACATGCAAGTATTTACTAAATACTGCCAAATCCAAGTATTATTCTTTCTTTCATTCTAGATTTTCTACCCTAGCAAGGATGGTACAAAGATTCCAATGTTCATTGTCCATAAAAAGGGCATAAAATTGGATGGCTCACACCCTGCTTTCTTGTATGGCTACGGTGGCTTCAACATATCCATTACCCCCAACTACAGGTAAGCGTGTGAACACTCTTGGAACTTGGCATTTGGGTTCCCTTCCACTGCGCCATATCTCAGGCCATTCCAGGCACCATCTGAACCCTGGTGAAGACAGCAAAGCCCACACGCAGGCTTCTCAGGCAGTGAGACTTGTTATCGCAGAACATCCAAGTACTGATGTACCTGGAAATATCTCCATATATCTAGGTTGTAAAGTCATGTCACATCCTGAAATTATTAGCCAAAACATGCAAAATACTTGGTTTTGGTTCATTAAATGAGCCTACTCCTTACAGGATAAAACATGTCATTGTGTGTGTCGCCCTTTACCACTCTCAGGGATAAAGTACAGGCTTAAGTTTCAAGTCAGAATGATGCTTGAGTGAAGGGCAGCAAGCGTGTGTCAGCCAGTGAGGAACAAGAGGCACATCGTGAGCCCCCTTCCCTGGTCCTA